CTATTTCATCCTATGTAGCACCGAAACGGAAACAGTGCTAGGAGGAAACCCGGAAATGGATACAAGGAAACGACATATTCAAAAGGGTAAATAACACTTACTTCCCTGTGTGATTATAATATCAGCACATAACTGTCTTGTGGTTTATGGGGCAGCTTCTATTAGTTTTTCCGTCAAACTTAACCGTTTGTGTCAAACGTCAAAGTATTTCTTTTGCAGATCACCCCCTTGTGCTTTCATTTTTGCAGATGACCCCATTGAAGTTTGACATACGCGGTTAAGTTTGACGAAAAAACTAACGAAAGCTACTCACCATAAACCACAAGGGGGTCATCTGCAAAATATTGTAACCACACCAGCTTAAGTGGTATTTACCCTATTCAAAAAAATGGGGATACGAAAGTTTGGGAGAAATGTATAAATATTACTTAGCTATATATAGATATATATAAGTTTTTATTACGATATAAATTATTTTTTATATATTTTGTTTTCCTGCAAATTAGATAGCCAAGAGGTGAAGAGTGGGAGTAGATCAGAGAACGCTTCGCCTTTTCTATAGAAGGAGTCAACTGAGTTCTGAACGAATTAGCTCCTTGATAATGGCTCAATCTACATTTTGTTCACTTCCTTTTTCCGGTGGGAGCTCCAGATCAATCTTCCTCGTACGATGGCCCTGACTAAGAGAGGCCGCTTTTGTTTCAGATTCGATCCTATCTTTTGTGCCTTAAACCGAGTGTCAGTTCAAAAATGCATGGGTCGGCAGGCGGGGCGAGACTCACTGGGTCGGCACTACTAACCAAGCCCAGTTCTCGCTGACAGGCGATGGTAGCTTGCAATTTTTATGTTTCCAACTTTGTCTGCATGTTGATACAAACACATTCAAAATAAATCTTACGATTAACTATTAATTTGCAGGTGATCATTAAATCGTGTAAATAATTATGGAGACAACAAGAATATTTGAAAATTTGCTATTCAAACATGTTTCTAACTTTTTAAAAATTGCAAAACGACCACTATAAGGTGTCTGACAGGTGTCATCGAGTATCCGACACAAAACATATCCAGAACACGCAAACATTAAGAAGTTGAAGTTTCCGTACTAAATAGATTTCATCACACACAAAAAAAAAAATTGATTGAAATAGTGGCATCAGAATATTTGAATTATGGAGCCATAAATTTCACAGACTGTACCAAACCAGCATTTAAAATGTTCTATTCCAAACGCTCTTTATGAGTTATGATCAATGCCCATATTAATTGGTAGGTTGGTTGCCTGTGCATCAGGTCATAAATAACTTACTATGTTAATACAGTTCTTTAAAAAATTATTTAATTAGGATGAATTATAATATTACTATTAAATTTTTAACTTATTAAGATAAACATTATCCAAATTTAAAAATTAGATGGTATTTGCAAATCAAGAATAAAATTCATGGAGATAAATGTCATTCACAAGTAAAGATTTTTTTTTATTTTTTTTTATTCTTTTTTATAACGAAGGAACCTTCAACCAACTATATAGCACAAATACATAAGAACCTGAACTTCAGTAGAATTTATTGCATTTAATGCCAATGTTATTGAATTACTAAAGAACTCCTATTATTATTTTATTGGTTAATTAAACTCCTCTCATAATGAATTTTTGTTTTATCAAATAAGCCCCTAAAACAGCGAGTTTAATTATTTTATGAGATAGCTAATTAAAAAACAAGTATTATTGATGAGTGGCTTAATTTCATTTTACACACTTGAAATGCAGTATTTTGCCACTTTGCATCCTTAAAAAAAATTAATAACACTTTGCACCCTCGTAACAAAAAAAAAAAAAAATACGTTCACAATACACCATAACTTGAATATTTGGATAATGTCATTTGTTTATTGGTTTTCTTTATTGGTGCAAAATAAAAAATTAAAATTATTATTTTCTTCTACCTCCAATATAATTTCGAGTTAAAAAATGGGAAAAATAAAAAAATCACAACGAATTAATTACTGAAAAAACTACATTTTCTTACCAAAATAATAAATTTTTCTCACTAAATCATTCGATTAATAAATCTTTTATTGTTATTAGTGCAAATATTTGGTAGAAATCTTTGAAAGAGATATAATTTTTAAATAAATTGATTACAAATTAGCTGATGGTTTTCTTTTTGACTTTTGTTTTCTCTAAAATTTATTCTTGTGATTATTTTTAATATGCTATGAGATGTATTTTTATTTATGTAGTTTACAGTTTAGAAATGATTAACGAATATAAAAACAATTATTATACATTTGGATCTGAAAAAAAAACCACTAAAATATTAAATTACCTTCATTAGCTCTAAAAATTAGATCTGAGTTGCATTATGTATGAATTATTGTATTTTAAGGGTGAAACACACTATTAATTTTTTTCGGAGGTACAGAGTGTCAAAAAACTACATTTAAGGGTGCCAAAATGGGATAAAACAAATTAATATTAGAAGTTCTCTAATTATCAGAAAAACTATTATATGATTAAAACTACTTTACAGT